CATTCACTCCCCCCACCTACAATCCCTGCCGGTACGAGACTCGAACCCACAACCTTTGGGTTATGAGTCCGACTCTCTAACCATTAGGCCACGACTTCCCCTGAAGGAAAATGCGTTGGCCGGGAAACGAACCCGGGTCAACTGCTTGGAAGGCAGCTATGCTCACCACTATACCACCAACGCAGGTAACAATTGTTGTGGTTAGAAAAAATGCTGCATTACTCACATTTAATTGACGGACAGATTTGATCAGAACCTCACGAGCATGTTTCAACATCTGCTTTCTGTTTCACTGGATATGCAAATAATCCGTGCATGTCAGTTTTCCTAAACAAAGTCACAGAAGAGGAGCAGCGCCAGATGTCCAATATCAAGTCACAAAGTTAGTCCAGTGCGTAGATCCAAAAATAACATGAAGCCAGCAGAAAAAACAATGCGCACACGGTCAAATGCAGGGCAAAACCTCCTCAAAAAAATCTTTATTATAGTGCTTAATCAGAGGCCATAAAAAAAGTGCAAAGTGCAAAAGTTTTCCAAGTAGCAGTTTTCCTTAACACACATTGTTACATGGCCACTTAGAACAAACTTGCACATACTATATAATTATAAAAAATAAAAACTTTTTTTTTTGCATATGTATATATAAAATAAACTGCTAGAGACTTTCAATTTTTAAATCACAATTTATATTTTTATGTCAATATTTACAATTTTTATATTATATAACCACCAATGTATGTGTTTATTTTTATTGCTGTTGCCCGTTTTAAATATTTGAATCGCTTTTTAGCTTTTTGCTGTTTACTTAAATAGACCTGTGGTGTGACAAATGGCATTTTAAAAACAAATATTGCTTGTAATCCCCCAATTAATGCATGATAACTATACAATAGCAAGAGAAATGTTGATTAAAATACCTATAGACAAGTAAAACACACCACTGCTGCTGCTTATTTTAATGTCTACGTTTTTATCACAGTATTGGTTATTGTGCTCTTGATTTCCAGTCTTTGGAGAACTGCGTCTGCATTCTGCACAACCTCACCTACCAGCTGGAGACCGAGATGCCGTCTCTCTTCACTAAAATAAACATGCTGGCCAGTTACGAATAAAAAGCAAAACAACAGTGTAAATATTGTAAAATTGCTCAATTATGAAACCAAAACTTGTTACTATAAGCAGAAAATAATAGTTATGTTCAGTTCAATAAAAGTGTTGATGCTGCAAAGTGCATTATTTTTTAAAAGACTGCGAGTCAGATGTAGGCAGAAAATAGTTCCATTTATTAATTTTAATTAATTAAGAATTGCATTTATTTTATAATTATTGAGCAATATTTGATCAATTTCAATTACTAATTTTATTTAATTATTTCCAAATGTTTATCATTTCAGCTTTAATCCGCTCTACAGAAGATAATAGTGTAATAGTTCAGTTTAATAATAGTTGTAATAATAATAATAATATTAATAATAATAATAAATGTTGCTTATCCACTTCAATACGGTTCAAATTTTGTTCTCCCTAAATAGAAAATGAAAAATAGTCTATAATTATAATTTAGTTTATAATTGTTATGAGCCATATTTTTTTTTAATCTATTTTCATTTCAAATTTTAAAATTAATTTCAGCTTTAAAAAGACAGCATGTGACATTATTCAGCTCCAGTCATTTAATGTTGATTCAATTCAGTTTAATAACTGTTGCAAAGTTAGTCGGTGCATTTAAAACTATAAGTAAATCAATCTTACTGAATATTAATTGTCTTTTAAACTCCAGCTGAGCAAGCCAAAGGCAAAAGTAGCAAAAAGAAAAACAACGTTTTGATACCTTTATTTTAAGTGTGGATATATAAAAACAACAGTTTTTCCTCCAAAACAGCTGGGGATTTAACACAAAGTCAGTATAAATGTCTGAGTATCAGATGTCTCATTCCTGAGGCTGCTTGTGGGAAATGATTGTGTGTGTGTGTGTGTCGGGCGGTTGAGGATTTTGGGTGTGGTGCGGAAAGCTAGCTGTGAGGGGTGAGTGTGAGTGGTTACGGCTGAAAACCAGCCACACCTCACCACACCGACCCTGCAGTCGTGTCTCCATAACCTGAAGAATCCAGCCTCACTGGTTTCACTCAGTGATCAGACTCCGATAATGTCATTCTAGCTGTAAAGTCAGTCTTTATATAAACATGCATCAGTAAATTCTCATGTTTACTTATATTTAATATTGACTTGTGTTATTCACCAACCTGTGTGTTTGTGTGTTCATCTTGCAGCAAGGCATGAATAAGAAGTCCTTTGTGAATGACATAACGTCGGCAGCTTTCAAATCTCTTCAAGTGGTCGACTAAGAGAAGCACTTTACAAACAAACTGCATTTTAATAGCATTGCATTTTAATTTTGGTTACGTAATGCAGAAGAAATGGTAAGAATGAGCTTTTATTTCTTTTGGGGCAGTAGACGCTTTTTGTAACAATGCATGACAAATGCAATATCAAAAACGTGACTTTTTTTTCTTCTATGACTCAAGACCGTAGTATTTTCCTTCAGTTAAGATGATTTTATATGCCTTTGTTTGTCTTTATAATATGTTCTAAAATGCAAATGATTTTATGAGAGTATTACGGGTTGTTTGTGCAAGTTTTAGATATTATATATTATACTGTATGATATATTATTTTATATCACAATATAAATATGTATGTCAGTCAGTCAACAAGTAATTGGAATAATTCTAGTAAGTTTCTTCGGCTCATTTTGACATTTTTTCATCATTACAAATATTGGGGCTGTTGCGTTAAGGGTGTGGATCAATTTGTATGTTTCAGCTCACAGCAAAGTTTCAATAAAGTTTTCAACAGCGCTAGTCTGTGTCACATTTTACTGTTAAATATTCATAACATTTACAAAATCACTGTATTATGCATGCAAAAAAACAAACAAACAGGGGCATACTAAAGCATATGCTTAGTCCAAAAACGAATTCATTCTAACGTGTATACATCATGATAATGTTTTGTAAACATTTACAATCTTGCTTGCGATTCTCTGAAAATGCATGCAACGCTTTTAGATTTCAGTTCTATCTCCTTTCACTTCATGTATTATGATTCATTAACATTAAATCGACAAGATAATACAATCATAAATGACCGCTATACAAATCATGGAACTTTCCACATGATGACATGCATATAATTAACACTGAAAAGAGTAATTAATTTCAAATTACATTTATTAGTCACTTTAAAACCAACTTCAGTGTTTCATATTTCAATCAGATGGCTGTTTTTATTCTTTGCAGCGCTTCAAAAAACATTATACGAGGACCAGAATGTAGATGATTATATTAAAGCATATTATTTATGATTAAAATATCAGTGTGGTGGAAGTTGCTGGTGTCTTTGTGAAGCTGCTTTATTTTCGTAGTCCTCTCTTACTCCTCGAGCCTTTGGTACTAAAAGGAAAAAAAACTAATATATTATTTAAAATAAAAGTTAATTATGTAAATGATCAATGTAGCATTATATGGTTGCTTTTTTGTTTTTGTTTTTATCAGAACAGACCTGTGACATTTTTGGGTCATGAAGAATACAACAGTTTGTTGCTGGATTTAAAAAGGTTCTTCAATGGCTTTAGCCTCAGTCTTTTTAGATCTGTTAATATTGTTTATTTTTAAGAATATAGCATGACCTAAACTATACACCAGTACAGTAGATGTTAACAAAATCCATCTTCCTGTATTTAGCGGCCTCAGATCAGACTTATTTTGTGCAGGTGGATTTTCCGCATGTGTTGTTTTAATCTCTGGCAGTAGCGAGGTCAGACCAGATCAAATCTCCCACTCTTCTAGTGCTTAAAACGGGATCTTCCAGGAGCCCCGGGTCTGTCTGACCCCCTATAACTTCCTCTTTAACCCCTGAACAGCTGCCGGATCTGTCTTCATTCTTCATAACAGAGCCATTAAATGCGCTGGAGAGCCTGTGAATGCGGATCACCTCAGGGAAACTCTTCGATAAATTATCTTGGAACAGAATCTGCAGTATCATAACTATAGTTATCTACAAAAATCTTTTGTTAGGTACCACTTATTCCCACAGATGAGCCCAATGGAACATCCCAGCTGTATTTCGGCTCAGCTCAGTACCAGTCGGTTGCATTAGCCGTAACAGCTCGGCAAGTCCGAACAGATTTGGCACGAGTCAGGCAGGAGATATATCACCTATCCGACACACACTGGGTTTGACAGGGATTTGTTAAGTCTGTTGAATGACGGGATCGAGCGCCGGGTTTGGAATAGCAGCTATTTATTTTATGGTGGTTGTGGTCTATTATTAAACTACCTGACTTCCACATGTGTCTTGGAGATGGCCACATGCTTAAAAAAGTGCCATGTTTATTAGATATATTTAGCAACTAAATTAGTCCCATATACATTTAAAAGATTAAAAATGTGCATTAAATTAAATCATTTCTGTTGCATTAACTTAAATGTCAGATTTATTTAGATTTTTTAACTTCTGTTAAATCAGTCTACTTTGATTAATTCCTTATTATTTTGATGCATATTAAATTATTTTGTTGCATTTACTTAATATCGTCAGATTGATTCAGTATATATAGTAGTGTTGTCAAACGATTAATCGCATCCAAAATAAATGTTTTTGTTTGCATAATATATGTGTGTGTACTGTGTATATTTATGTATATATAAATACACAAACATACAGTATATATTTTGAAAATATTTACATGTCTATATTTATATTCATATAATTTATATTATAAATATATTTAATATATAAAACATTACATATTTTTCTGAAATATTTACATGCATGTGTGTGTATTTATATATACATAATAAATATACACAGTACACATATAATGTAAACAAAAACTTTTATTTTGGATGTTCGACAGCACTAACATATATGTAATATTATAATATATAACAATATAATAACTGTAATATATAACAATATATATTGTTTTATATCAATATATTTTTGTTACCTCACCAAAAATGTTTGGTGTATATTTTTATATTTTGCAAAAAAATTGTTGCATTAGGCGAATTGCGTCAGATTGGTTCAGTAATTTAAAGTTATATTTCTTAAATTAAACAAGTTATTTTAGATTAGATTACATCTATATATTTTTGAATATATATTTTTAAGTTACCTGACAAAACATTTTTAGTGTATTTTTTATATATTGAATAAAATATAGGCCTATTATATAAAAACTAGTGCTGTCAAACGATTAATCGTGATTAATCCCATCCAAAATAAAAGTTTTTGTTTACATAATATATGTGTCAAGTCAAGTCACCTTTATTTATATAGCGCTTTTAACAATACAGATTGTGTCAAAGCAACTGAACAGCATTAATTAGGAAAATAGTGTCAATAGTGTGCTGTGTATATTTATTGTGTATATATAAAGACACACATACAGCATATATTTTGAAAATATTGACATGTATATATTTATATTCATATAAATTATATCATATATAAATATATTAAATATATAAACGTTACATATTTTTCTTAAATATATACATGCATGTGTGTGTATTTATATAAACATAATAAAAATACACAGTACACACACATATATTATGTAAACAAAAACTTTTATTTTGGATGTGATTAATTGCGATTAATCGTTCGACAGCACTAATAAAACCATGATAATACCATGTTATTGGACACTAGCATGATGGTATTTTTGAAGTTCATTATAGATTAGATAAATATTTTGACTCAAAGTACACCTGTTAACTTAGATTATATATTTTAAGTTGACAACAAAGTATATATATTTTTTGCATAAAAATATATTAAATATAAACATGATAATACCATGTTTTTTGACACTAGCATGATTGCATCACTATAGTATTCTTTAAAGTATCTTACAGTGCCTTTAAAGACCATATGGTTTATAAACTTGATCATTCAATACCTTGGTATATATCAAACTACCAGGGTATTACATGTGCTACTGACACTAAACCATGTTTTTTTTTTAATTTATGGGCTTTTATGGCTTCCTAATGGATGTGTCGGTGCACTAACCACGAGGCTATTGGCGCCAACTTCTTTTTCTGTTTTATTGCAATGTGCATTGCATGCACAAAATCCTTCAGCTAGCTGTTTATTTCCTTTTTAATAGCCTGAGGTTCACTATTCGGATAAAGGTCATGCTAGAACAAAGCAGCAACTGTTATTCCACACAGAAAGTTCTGGAAACATGATGCTATGCTAGATTAGCCTAGCGGTATTACGCGTCTTAGCTTGGTTTTTACCAAGGTCTGTCACACACTGAGGTCAATACTGTATGTTATTTCAGGACTACTGCTCATCACTATTCATATCTGAGCAGAAGGTAACATGTTTTATTGTTCAACCGTTGCTTGATATTTAACACCTATAGGGGCTATGCAAGTTTTTGACTGTTCACGCAGTTGAACGGGGTCAAATCTGTTTTCATTTTCCCCCTCATATAATGACAATATCACATTGAATTCAATTTGAGCTGCCCTTATAAATATCAGATTTTTTGCAACATGACTCCAGAGCAATTTTAATGTCAATCTAACTGGACACTCATGATGGCATGCTTGATTTACTGCTGGCGTGAATCAAAAAATAACTTATGAATTGTGAGGTATTGTACTACAAACTGTATGTTTACAATATTAATCCACATATAAACTTTTGTGCAAAAGATTTTTAAAGAAATTAATACTATTATTCAACAAGGATGCACTAAATTGATGTGACAATAAAAGCATTTGTAGTGTTACGAAAGATTTCTATTTGAAATAAATGCTGTTCTTTTAAACTCGCTATTCATCAAAGAATCCTGAAAAAATGTTCCACAAAATTATTAAGCAGCAGAACTGTGTTCTGGATCATGTGACACTGAAGACTGGAGTAATGATGCTGAACATTCAGCTTTGTATCATGGCAATAAATTCTATTTTAAAATATATTCAAATATAAAACAGACATTTTAAATCGTAATAATATTTCACAATATTACTGTTTTTACTGTATTTTTAAACAACTAGATGTAGCCTTGGTGAGAACAGGAGATGTCTAATGTTCAAAAACATTAGAATCCCCAACTTTTAAAAGCTAGTGTACATTTCTTTTAATTTCATATAATGACAAAAATATGATGATTAGTGTCTAAAATGTCGGCCAAATTCAATAGGTCATGTGAACAACCTCACAAAAATAAAGGAGAAAATCTCAATTCTGGCACTTTGGTTAGTTGTATGAATGTAGATTTTGATAATGCATCAATAAATCAGCTCCATTTCACAGCAACGTACTTTTTCTGATGGTCGCTGACACGGTTCCTAAGGATGGTGATCTATGAGACAGAAAATCACACGTATGAATCAGTTTTGGTGAATCACTGCCATACAACTTTGCTTCCTTCTCATGTCAATCAAACAGCATCTCTGGGAACCGGCTAGGAGGATTGTTCTGCCAAGTCTGTGCTGGGTGTGACTGCTTGTGTGTGTAATTGATAGTTGTACCATACTGTACATCTCATAAACTCATCCTCTCCTAACGTTACGACTCCTCTAACATCATGTCAGTCTTTGTGGATGTGAAACCTCACCTCGTATTTCTGGCACATGTATCTGTATTGCAGCTCGAACTTCTCGGCTTCAAGTTGGCGCATCGACTTCCAGAGTTTGTTCACGGTTTCTCTGCATAAAAGCACATGAGGAACATGACTAATCAGTCCATGAACGTGAAGCAACAGCCCGTGGCTTAATGGCACGATGCATGTAATGCTACTTGACTATATTTCATGCTGGCAGAGGTATGTCCTGTCATGTTTTGTAAACTCCACCTCAGTTTATCGGCACTCAGGTTTTCGACGTTCAGTTCTTTACGGCGTTCACTAAGAATTGTTTTTTTCTTCTCCCTCTCTGTTTGCTTCTTAGGCCCACCCCTCTTGTCTGTCTGTCAAATTAAAACAAAACAGAAAATAAGCATATGTAGTGACGGTGCACCGTGACCTTTGACCTCTGAGCTCATTACCCTCTGCATGAATCCCGTGCACTGGAAGCTCGTGAGAACCTTCTTCTTCTTAGCGTCATCATCAGCCTTCCTCTTGGCCTCTTCCTCCTCTTTTCGTGCCTTTTCCTCCTGAAAGAAATAATAATTCATTAAAGGGGTCATGACATGAGAAATCAAATTTGCCTTGATCTTTTGGCATGTGAGAGTTCTTTGTACCATTAAAACATCTTGCAAGTTTTACAGATTAAAACGTCCTCCTCATTATAAACAAAGCATTTATTTAATCAAGCTCCGTTTGGATCTGAGGTGCATGATGACATCACAGGGGCACAAACATTTGCATAAACACGGCCTTCAGAGCAAGACATCGACCGATCAGCCGCTAACGACTGACACTTGATCACGCTGAAAGCGAGTGTCGCGTCGCGTCAAAAGCAAATAGAAATTACAATCCCTGCCGCTATCTTGTCTACACTGGATGCAGTATACAGATGCGTGTTTACTTTCAGACAGAAACATTTGTTGAAAGATGAAGCGGTACTAGATCTGACTGCAGCTGCATCACTAACTGTAAGTAAATAGGTGCGTCCCAAATCGCGTACTTATGCACTATTCTATGACGTTTAGTAGTATAAATAGTGCGAGTGGTGCGTTCACACTGAAAATTCCAAAAAGAAAAAGTGCACTTTAAATACCCGGATGATGCACTTAAATAACTGAAAAAAATGAAGTGTGGAATGTTTGACACTTCATGCACTCAACTATCACAGCTTTAATTACGTAGCGAAGGGGCAGGGGCTATCAGACTCCGATTATGAATGACAGAATAACCTTATATAATTCATACTCCGCATGGCTGAGTACATACACTCTAAAAAAATGCTGGGTTAAATACAACCCAGTGCTGGGTAAAATAGGGACAAACCCAGCAATTGGGTTGTTTTGACCCAACATTTTTTAGAGTGTAGTGCATAAGTACATAGTGTATAGTGCGTAATTTGGGATGCAGCTAATGATTTCATATTGCTCTGTCTGGAAACGACCATTTTATTTAGATTATGTTGTCAAAACACTCGCATGCAATAGCGAGGGGGCTTTGATAAGGTTTCCTACACTCTAAAAAATGCTGGGTTAAAAACAACCCAGTGCTGGGTAAAATAGGGGCAAACCCAGCAATTGGGTTATTTTGACCCAGCGGTTTGGTTAAATGTTTAACCCATCCTTCTGAGTAGTAACCCACCTGCTGGGTCAAAACAACCCAATTGCTGGGTTTGTCCCTATTTTACCCAGCACTGGGTTGTATTTAACCCAGCAGTTTTTTAGAGCGTATGCAATGACGTTAGCCAATCATAACAGTGGCCGATCACTGAGAAGCCTTAAAGGACACGCTCCTTAAAATAGGTCGTTTTAGACAGAGGATCAGGATGAGGGTCGAAAACATTAATTTTCCCACATATTTATTTGTTGTTGTTGTTTTTTTCAGTGCAAAAAAACTTCATTATAAACAATCCTCAAAAAATATATTCAAATAATTAAAAAAAAAGTCATGACCCCTTTAACAATCATATAAAAGCGGGCGCAGCCATTTGTAATTTGAATGTGTGAAGTCGTGGCCTAATGGTTAGAGTCGGACTCGTAACCCAAAGGTTACGGGTTCGAGTCTCGTACCGGCAGGGATTGTAGGTGGGGGGAGTGAATGTACAGCGCTCTCTTCCCTCTTCAATACCATGACTGAGGTGCCCTTGCGCAAGGCACCGGACCCCCAACTGCTCCCCGGGCTGCCCACTGCTCCGTGTGTGTGTTCACGGTGTGTGTGTTCACTGCTGTGTGTGTGCACTTTGGATGGGTTAAATGCAGAGCACTAATTCCTAGTATGGGTCACCATACTTGGCCACATGTCACTTCACTTTAAAAAAGAAACATCCAGTGTCATTTGCTTCCAGTTATTTTAGCATAACCAGACCATTATGCTGCTTGATATTGCAAAGTGGTATTAGTTATTATATTAATATTATGTATGAACTTACGGCTAGTTTGTTTTGTCGTTCTTTCTCGCGCTCTGTGCGGGTCCGGTGCTGCTCCGCTCGTTCCCCCCTCCGGTTCTCCTGGTGGTCAACATAGACAACAGGTACATTTAACCCACTTTGAAGATGAACTAATCATATTTAGCACACCTGAAAGCTTTGAAGCATACTCAGAGATTCGTTTGAGGCACTTACAGTATCAGTTGGAAATATTTGTAATGCTTTTGAAAGAAGTCTCTTTTGCTCACAAAGGCTGCATTTATTTGATCAAAAATACAGTAAAACAGTAATGCTGTGAACTGTTTACATGTGAATATATTGTAAAATGTTACTTATTCCTGTGATTAAATCAATATGCTGATTATCTGCTCAAGAAATATTTATTATTGTTATATTGTGTTGGGAGTAACGCATTACAAGTACCACGAGTTACGTAATCAGATGACTTTTTTCAAGTAACTAGTAAAGTAACGCATTACTTTTTAATTTACAAGAGAATATCTGAGTTACTTTTTCAAATAAGTAACGCAAGTTACTTTTTTTTTCAATTTATTGATTGACGGCTCTCCTGTCCCCATGTTGAGAGAAATCAGAAGATGTTACTGTAGTTCTAAAATAAATATGAATATGCATTAATTCATCTCACTCACACACAAAAAAAACACAGATTCAATATTAAATATTATATAAAAATAATGCAACTCAGAATATGACACAAACCTGCAATAATTAAATGTTAAACAACACAAATATGCTTTATGTATTTAATCCCATTCTATTAACCAATGTCTTTGCTTCTGACCTTCGATGATCCAGTTCAACCGTACTAATAAGCAAAAATTACTCTAGACAAACATTTGTGTGTCTTTGTTTATTGCTGAAGTGTGTTGAAATTTCTTCTTCTGCATTCTACTGTACTTTCCCTTCAGCCTGAGGCTTATTCATTTCACTTTTGGTGTGAAAAGCTTTTATATTTGCCAAAAATATAACTTTTTTATGTTAAAAACAAACAAGCAAGCCCTGTCCAGATTTAAAAAGTAACGCAAAAGTAACGTAACGCATTACTTTCCATAAAAAGTAACTAAGTAACGTAACTAGTTACTTTTTTATGGAGTAACACAATATTGTAATGCATTACTTTTAAAAGTAACTTTCCCCAACACTGATTATAAATTATGAAAACAGTTGTGCTGCTTCATATTTTTTGTGGAAACCATGATAAACTTTATTTTTCAGGATTTTTTGGTGAATAGAAAGTTCAAAAGAACAGCATTTATTTGAAAGAGAAATCTTTTGTAACATTATAAATGCCTTTACTGTAACTCTTGATCAGTTAAATAAATCCTTGATGAATAAAAGTATTAATTTCTTAAAACATCATACTGATCCCAAAGTTTTCAATGGTGATGTATCACAGTTTCCATGTGCATCACATCTTAGCAAATACACTCACATCATTTGCAAACACAATAATTTTCAGAAAACTCACATGTAGCTTGATGTTGTTTTATATTTTGTTAAGCCATGCATTCATAATTAACATAATTACAATTTACACAATACACAAATTAAACACTGACTGTAGTATATTTTGCTTTGTTTTTTATTTTCTATTTTTTTATGTTCTCTGTATAGATGTTCAAGGAGTCATGCTTTTATTTGAAGGTATTTATTTGTGTGGTCAACAGTTTGGCTCTGTGAAACCAGTCTCAGTCCTGCTGGAAAGAGCAGAGTAAAGCAAGCATGAGTTTCCATGCTGGTTAGACCTGGTTTGCTGCTGGTCTAGCTGGTAGAGCAGTATAGCTAGTCTATAGCCTTTTTCAGCAGGGTGATTTCAACACAAGGGTTCACTTGTTTTATCATAGTTGCTGTGGTGAGGGTTTATTTATTTATTTTGTAATATGTGACAATAGTTATGAAGAAATGCATTTAATTTTTATTTTAAAAAAGTCTTACAATCCACTGGGTGATGTTGATCAACTCCTCTTCGTCTTTCTTTCTGCTCTCAAAGTGAGCCTCAATGAGCGTCTGTAGCTCCGTCAGGTCTTTCTCCATACGTTTGTGGTGAATATCCTGAGGATACGTGTTTGAAGGTAATTATGTAATAATGTACAGTACGGTATAAACTACTCGTAGCACATGTTTAAGACAGTGCAGGTCATATAACACTGTTTAGTTTAGTAACAGAGTGATTTATTGGCACAACAGTTATTAACGTATATCTGTATTGTGAAAGCATTTGCAGCATTGTTGCTGACAAGGACAACACCGCAAAGCAAAATTGCAGTAGTAAACAAATTAATACAATGTAAATAAATGAAGGAAGCGTATACTACAATAATTAAAAGAAATCTGATGCACCATAAAATAAAAAAATACTCACATCAAAATCTAATTTCTCTCCATCAGGAATTTTGGGAGGCACTAAAGCTGGCACAAAGGGTCTAATAATCAACAACAATGCATTAGTATTTTTTTTTTCATGCTAATGGTCTTACATTTGGAAATGCATTGTTATACATTATACTTTATATATAAGCTATTTATATTTTATTTTGCATAAATTTGAAAGTTTTACTTACTTATGCTTTGGTTTTGTTTCTCCTGCATCATTCGGTTGGCAGGAGAGTAAAGAAAAAATTACAAATGTATGACTTTGTTGCTGATTATTTTACTGTTGTTTCTTTTAAAGGGGGTCAAAGGTGATCTAGGGTGAAACCAGTTTTGAGTGAGTCTGATGTTATCACTTTACCTTCTTCCCCAGGTTCCTCAGCAGCATCTAAATAAGAAAAGACAGCCATGTCAGCTATGACTGCAATGTGAAGATCCACAGCAATGACGCAAGACCCAAGAGATACAGAGAAGCCCTGAAGACGTCTGTTAGCAGAAACTAAAAGGTATTTTGTCTAAAAAAATCTGGGTGGTCACCATTGTTTTCAGAGTATTTCAGTTTAAGAAATCTGGAAGTGCTTGAAACTTCTTAAATATGATGGATGTATTCCATTAAGCTGACAATAGCTGACATTGTTCTAAAGTTCATCCCAAATGTGTCACCCTTCAGTGATTTTGTGAAAGTATAATTATTGGGTGTTGTTGATGGGATTATAAGCACTTGCTGAATGATCCTGTATTTAATTACCTGCTTGAAGTGGATTGGGTGTTTGCTTCCCACTGACCTCTACAAGCCCTAAAAAATAACACATAAACAGGAGGATTTAACTGAAAACACATTATGATCAATTTGAAGTCTTGCCCTGTGTATCATTATACACTATTTGTGTAGTCTACATTACTTAATTATTAACCCTAAGTAATTATAATTCTGAAGTACTAATATACTAAAATAAAAATGGTGTAGAGTTACATTGAAACAATTTGAACTAAGAAATTGGTAGTAAAATTCACAAATAATTACAAAGAAATGGCAAATAACACACTGAATAAAAGTAGAAAGATAGTGAACAGTGAACCTAACAAAATAACTGTTATTTAAAATGATAAATATTTTACTTTTATTAATATTAACATGCATTATCCATTTTATTAAAGCACACAAATTAAGCTAAGAGTGTTAATTTTCAGTCCTTAGTCAAAAGTAATAGGCTAACTGAGAAATTATATGATGCATGAAAAATTGCCTTATGGCTTAAAAATGAATCATTATTTTCATTCTTTTAAATTCATAAATTAAAGGTACATTGGATTTGTTTATCCAAATATAATTTACCCTTGTTTTATTTTGGGACATGCTCTTGACAAACTTCGTGAGATTTACCCAACAACATCATCTGTTTTATTAGTCCATAATGGCAAACATTTTTCATCACAAAAAATATAAAGGTATAATTGTGACACTTTATCTCACAAATAGGACTTTCGCACAATTCTGTGTTTATATAAACTTGCAATCTTTCTTTTTTTTTACTCCAATGCAGAAAAAAATTTGTGAGATGTAAGCTCAGAATTCTGTGAAAAAAAGTAAGAATTGCGAGATTTAGATTGAGAGTTTTGAGAAAACCATTTTTAATTGTGATGTTAAATATACAATTGCAAGAAAAAAATTGATTGTGAGATAGAAAGTCACAATTACCTTTTTTTAAATTTTTCATCCCATGGCAGAAAAAAAGCTTGCATACAAATCTCATTCATTATTAGCTGTGGCTTTAGCAATAGCATTAGAACAAGCGACACTACCTTCCTCCCCCTGCTCCTCTACCTCCTCAAGCACCTCCTCATCCTGCAACTCCTCTGTGCAAAGCAGACAGTGTGAGAGCATAATCATGCATATGCTTGCAAATGAGCAATGCATGCATGCAAAATACACAGACTCCCAAACACACGCTTAAAGGGTTAGTTCACCCAAAAAAGTAAAATTAGGCTGTGTTTTACTCACCCTCGAGGCATCCTAGGTGTATATGACTTTCTTCTTTCAGACGAATCCAGTCGGAGTTATATAAAATATTGTCCTGGCTATTCCAAGCTCTATCATTGCAGTCAACGGGTGTTGCAGTGCTTTAGTCCTAAAGAAGTGAAATAAAAAGCGCCCATCCATAAAAAAAAAAAGTGTCTCGCACGGCTCTGGGGGGTGAACAAAGCCCTCCTGTAGAGAATCGATGCGTTTTTGTAAGAAAAATATCCATATTCAAAACGTAATAATCACTTTAATGTAGCTTGCGCCAACAGTTGTACACAGAAGCAGCTCCGGGCGAATGATGTATGAGGTCGGCGTTGCGCATGCGCCGATGAGTCTTGTGAAAACCAACGTTTGTTAACAGGATTAAAGGAAGCAAAGTTTCCTTACTTTAGCAAAGGAAAACCAGTCTCCTCTTGGCTTATATCGAGGTCCTCCGACATTCTTCTTTACAAATCCTCGTTTTGTACTTCTAATCCGTGACCGTTGTTTTGTTTTGATCTCTCCGCTGCGCTTCCGCGTTCGTCACTTCTGAGCGGCGCATGCGCAACGCTGACGTCCTACTTCATCCTCCCGGAGCTGCTTCCGTTTACAACAGTGAACGCAAGTTAGATTAAATTGATTATTACGTTTTAAATATGCTTTTTTTTTTTTTTTACAAAAACGCATCGATTCGCTACAGGAGGCCTTTGTTCACCCCCCGGAGCCGTGTGAGACACTTTTTTTTATGGATGGCCGCTTTTTATTTCACTTCTTTTGGACTGAAGCACTGCAATGATAGAGCTTGGAATAGCCAGGACAATTTTTAGTATAACTCCGACTGGATCTGTCTGAAAGAAGGAAAGTCATATACACCTAGGATGCCTCGGGGGTGAGTAAAACACAGCCTAATATTCATTTTTGGGTGAACTAACCCTTTAACTGAATGATGACATATTTTGTTTTTATTTTATATTGTTATTAGGTTTTTTTGACTATTATTATTATTTTAAAGAAAAATATATTCCTTCTATAGATAATAAACAATTTTGTTCATTTGAGGGTGTTGTCAGATTTAGCTCAGTACTAGGGATAGTTTTGCCACCAAACTAACTCAAAAATGCACACATACTTCTGTCTCATTTAACTCTCTGAATGCATATAAGGCGTTTAAACATTATTTTTTAAACAATAAAGGCTTAGACTTGTGAGTGATGTCACGTAGTGCCATTACATAATGTCGTTTGTGAAACTGCTGGTCCTGATACTCCACCCTCGAACTAATCCACCACACATAAACACACCGTCACCAGCTCCTCTGATATCGGTTTGTGCTGCCAAAGAACATGATCTCACGACACACACCCCAGTGCTCATCCGCTCTCACTCTCCTGTTCTTTAATGGATTTAGGGTAGGTTCACAAGTCTAAACAGCCAAATGTCCTCGCAGAACAACAAATAGCTGGCACTTTCACACATACGGTTCAAAACAGGACCTTAAAAATTAAGTCATTTTTTTCTTTTTCAGCAAATGATCAGTGAAAGGAGGTGCTTAACAATCAGACAAATAATGTTTTAACTGAGGTTGCATTAAATATATAAATAAGCTTCATGAGTTTGTCAGAATGGGTACGCATTTTACACGAGCAATTATTGCAAGTGGATAACACGTTTGAAAATAACAGGGTTGGACATTTTTGTCAATCATTATAGTTTGGGTCCAAATGTTACTTTAGTAATATACAGTTTAAATGCAGTATACATTTTTTAAATATGTGCAAATATTTTTCTTAATAAGAAAAAAATATTTTCATTATATATAGATAGATATTACTTTTACACATTTACATATTTTTATAACATCGGTTATTGAGATTATTTGTCTATTTATTATCTATTTTTTATTTTAGTGTCATAAATATACTATTATGGTTTTTATTAATATTTTGAATTAGATTTGATATTTTTTGTTTTCACTTAAATTTTAGGTTTAGTAATTTTCTTCTCTTTTTTTGTACAGTTTTTTATTAGTTTTCTATTTGATAGTTTTAGTTTATTTAGTTTTAGTTATTTTAGTACGTACTTCTTTAAACTGAAACTAAAGTCTTGGCAGCTTTTTTTATTTTAGTTAATATTTCTTTTAACTTTTTTTAGTTCTATTTAATAATTATAACCCTGTCTATTCCTGTAGAATAACTATTTTAAGGTGGCAATAATTGTATTTAATAGCTACTTTGCAAAACTATATGTAACATAGAGTAGTAGGATTTGTCCCACTAATGCTTCGAAAAGTCATGGGATACCAAAAACATGTGGAAAGTGCCAGCTATATTCTTCTCCTTATCCCTTATTTGTTTCTGCGGGTCTAATTTCAGTGAGCTAAACACACATTCCTGTCACATGAAGGGACGGTTTGTATTCAAAATACATGTCTTTGTTCAATGCGTCCTCATTCGCTGTGAATCTCACCTAGAAAGTCACTCTCTCCTCTACTGGTCAGTAAATGTAACATTTAACTGAGGTATCGGGGTAAAAGCCCAGGAGCCGATGTGCAAACCGGATCATCTACAGGGAAGAAACCTGATTCCCATTTGGGCCGGCCGAGAGAGGGAGAGACTGAGATTGTCATTGTGCTCCAAACAACAGCCCTTCTCAACAGCCTCAAACACATGAACCT